AGAGAGAGAGAGAGAGAAGGTACGAAATATCATACATCGATACCGAATGTCTGGAGGGTTTGTTTCAGAGACCTATTTTCGCTCTCGAGCTGAAGTCTTTCCATTCGCCACTTCTTCATCTGACACTTCATTATCGTGAGCTTCCTCAGGGCAAACGAGAGGTCCTGGATCTCCGACTCTTTGGAAGTGTCTTTGAAGGGATTGTAACTGCAGCAACAGCACGGCTCGTTCGGGAAATCGGCCGATTCCAACGACGCCATTATCCGGCTAATCTTTTCAAGTTTTTCAACGTAATTGCAAACCGAGACGAGAATTTTATTAAGATCGATCTGTACCTATAAGAAGGAAACGGAGAGTTCAGAAGCTGAAGAAAACTCGATTAAAGCATTTGAGAAAAATGCTCGGTCATAAAAGGAATTTTAATATAATAGATTGACTTGTTTTAAAGGGTTAAACAATTATTTCCTCCCTCCCTTTAAGTTATCTACTCGAATAATTTTTTTATTTTAATTCTACGATTTCAGTTATTTAAGACTAATTTATAAACGTATCGAGAGCAAGACCATTCGATGCGAGGGTATTGAAAAATATTAAAAAATTAAATTCATCGTAAGTAGCATTTATATTCAATTTCAGACGTCTACTAAATATCGTCTAAAATAACGGCTTTGCATTTAATCTTACAACGTTCGTTCGTGGCAAAAGTTTCTCTTCGCGAGGGATAATGGTCAAACATTGTTAAAAAAAGCGGCAAGGAAGATAAACGCTTTGACGAATAAAATACATAATTCATAAGTCCGTTCATAAAGGAACGTAACCGCGGCTGAAAGGGCTATGAATTCGCATCAAGAGCATTATCAACGGTTACGGTACAAGACTTGCCACTTTTAAAAGGAACGTAAAACCGCGTTTGGGCATTCGAACGATCGGTGTCCTTACTTCGTTCCCGATCCTCTATATTCCCATTCCATTCATTCGCCGTATCATATTTTTACAGGTTATCCGTACGTAACTGTTCCTCGCCCGCCAATGGTGACGAGTCATCGATGTAAGCGAATTTACGGTCGTAAACCGATTATAGACAGTTCGACGCGCCTAAGCGCGAAACTGCCCCAACGCAGGACAAAACATTTAGCCTGGATACGTGTATGTATACGCGAAACAGGAAGCCAGGTTAGGGTCGATGTATATTTCACAGCGGCAGTCACACTTTTGCTGCCACACGACCGCGGTCATCGATGAAGATCGATAATCTGATTTAACGTCAGACCGCTCTGTTTTATTGGGGCCGCGTAAATAAATTCGTTCAAATCTCGATGACGGTTACGTACGATAACGTTTTTCATTCACCGATATTATTTATTTATTGGAAAACTGATTCGATGGGGAAGCACGATTTACGATTACTTCCGCCATGATTTCTAAATTATAGATTAACATCGAACCAAAAAATATTTTTCTTTGCACGCGACATTTGTTATTCGTCATTCTTTTTGAACGTAATCTCATCAATTTTATTAGATACATTGGATTGTTCCTCGTCAACTGTTAATCCTTTAAATGGTATAGCGATGAACAGAAATCCTGTTTTTATTTTTATTGTAAATTTAGAAAGAGAAAAAGAAAAAGATACAGAATTTCACTATTGTATTTACTATACCATTTACTTGCAATTAAGACTATCTTAAATTTCCACGTTTGCTCATCCAGATCATTCTCTCATTAATTTAATAAACGCATTAATATTTATATATTCCCCAAATTGGATTTATATTCCTATTTTCGATAAACGATTTATGATAATTTCGTTCAAAACGCAATGAAATATCTTTTTTAATCAATTCGAGCAGATTGGTTCTGGGAATTTCTGCGAATCCTGAGCGGTATCTAAGCGGTATTAACGTGGCACACACGTTCCGAGAGAGATCTAATTACAATCCGCGTTATTAAAATACATTCCGTTTGTATGCAACTCGTCGACCGAAACTCATCTTTCGAAACGCGAAAACTGGGAGTCCCTTCCGCCATTTCCGCTTTATACAATCGATACAGGCAACGATCGGGAGACGTCGTGGATGTAATTAAAAGGGAGCGGAGGGGAAAGCTTTCTTTCCGGATCAGCGAGGAAAGTTGTCTCGTTAAAAAGGGAATCGTTGGTCCACGACGACTAGTAGTTACTTATCATCCAGATTTGGCGAAAAGTTTCGAAAGAAACCGGAAACTTTCGAATCGTATCCCCATCCATGGAGTTCCGTCATGTTCGCGTAATTAAATTAGGGGGGAGACCTCCGTTAGAATTTCGTTATTAAAGCCTCGATATTAACTTTTACATATTTATTATGAAACTTGGACGAAAGAAACTTTCCGGAGAGAGAGAAAAGAAAAAAAAAAACTTGGATGAAACGAAGGACGATTCCGTTTTAGTCGTGATTAGTTTCGTAGAGAGAACTCTGTGTATCGAGCGTGGAGAGGAGCGATATAAAGATCTTCGATCTTTCGAGAAGTTGAACAATTTATATTAATTCCATTGAATAAGCGCGAGGAATCGAAGAGGCGATTATTGATAATGATACGGTGTATTAAAAGTTTTGAATAATCATCCGGATTGATGTATGCATAATATATATTTCAACACTTTCGATTAAACGATTTCAAAGATTGAAATTCAGCAGAGAATTCTTTTAAAAGAGTTTAGAAGAAGACGGTTTTTCCATGGAAATATCATTGATTGTTAAATCGTTTCGATTATTATTTATTAACGATTTTATTTTAAAATTACTTTATTAAATGTGTATTTCTCTTCGAGTAGCGTCAATAGTTAATTTTGTTATACATTTTCATTAACAAGTTGATGTAACAAGAAGCTACTAAAACGAATCATCGATATGCGTTAGACCCTCGTGTAAAAGTTAGTTCACAGGTACGAAACTTTTGATTCACGTTCAATTTAAACGATTAATAATTGAATTACAATTCACCAACTCTCGTTAAGAACATTATATTGGATGTTCCAATTTTAAGAAACTTATACAACGATACCAAAGTTTTCGAACAATTGCAAAGAGATTTATCTTCGGTTCAATTACTTATACTTGTGAATTTATCACGAGAGTATCTTTTTAATTAAATCTGCATAGTGAAAATTTAGAAAATTTAAAACAGTACTGCAAAACTAATATTCGACGTTAAAAAAAGAAAAACGATTAAATGTAGACAAATATAATTATCGATACAAATGCGTGTTCTGTGTTTGAATTTATGATAATTTTATTCAAGAAACTTGTCATAAATAAATTTATCCTCGTAAAATTTGTTATTATTTTATTCTTTACTCACTTTTTAATAATAATACGTTTATCTTGGATAATTTAACAATGAAATCATCTTTCAACATTTTATAAAAATTTAATCTGATATTTATATAAATATATTGAAATATTCTGTTCATATATATTATTCTATAATTTATTTTAAACAAAAGACATGCATCATTTCTACAATCTGAAACTACAAATATGTGTCAAATGAATTTTCAGCGACGTAACCACAAACATTCAAACCATAAATTTTTTTCAAAAGTTCCGTAAAAATGTAATATGTTTCAAGAAAAATGAAAATTTCATTCAGAGGATGAAAATTATACGTAAAGATGCAGTAATATAATAATTCTTTCTGGCATTTGAAATATCTTTTTATTGCAATTATATTTGAATCCGCAAAAGAAAATTTAACAAATGTTCGTGCAGAATTTGATTTCAAGGTACAATATCGTACAATTAGTATAATTTAATTATCAAAATAATTATATCATTTAATTGTTCATATTCATACAAGATTAACTTAGAAAATTAATTAAAAATTAAATTCTCAATATAACTTCTTAGAATCCATATTATTATTCATACGATAAATAATGAATTAATTCGAATTAATTATACCAATTATCGAAGATCATTAATTAATTCTGCAATGATACGTTCAAGTTATTTCCTCAAAATAATTACAAATAAAATGCTTCAAATATGTTAATCATCCAAAAGTATATCTCATTGAATTTCTAACAGTTTCAATATCAACGAAAAGCTACGCTATCTAATTATTTACCAAA